ATGTGAGGAGCTCAACATGAGATTCAAAAAAGTGTTCACAGAGGAGACAGAAGGGACTCCAGAAAGACAGAGAGGAGGGGTACACCATCAAATGTTGGATACAATACATACAACCAAGGAAGAAGTGAAGGGGCTGCTAAGCAAGCTAGATATCTCAAGGTGATGGGGCCAGATAATTTCTCTCCATGGGTCCTTAAAGAGGGAGCAGAGGTGCTATGTGTACCACTAACAACCTTCAACACATCTATCGAAACAGGGTGACCCCCTGAGGTACAGAAGACAGCAAATATAGTCCCAGTTTTTAAAAAAGGAAACAGACAGGTAGCATTAAAAAACAGACCAGTGTCATTGACATGTATAGTATGCAAGGTCATGGAGAAGAGTGGTGGAGCACCTAGAAAGGAATGAGCTTATCAGCAACAGCCAACACGGTTTCAGGGACGGGAAATCCTGTGTCACAAACCTACTGGAGTTCTATCACAGGGTGACAGCAGTAAGACAAGAGAGAGGGAGAGAGGGGTGGGTAGATTGCAGTTTCTTGGACTGTAAGAAGGCATTTGACACAGTTCCACACAAGAGATTAGTGCAAAAGCTGGAGGACCAGGCAGGGATAACAGGGAAGGCACTACAATGTTTCAGGGAATACCTGTCAGGAAGGTGATGTGAGGTGTCAGAATGGGTGTCTGTAATGAGCAAGGTTCCTAGGACCGGTGCTGTTTCTGGTATTTATGAACGACATGATGAAGGAATAGACTCTGAAGTGTCCCTATTTGCAGATGATGTGAAGTTGATGAGAAGAATTCAATCATACGAGGACCAGGCAGAACTACAAAGGGATCTGAACAGGCTGCAGGCCTGGTCCAGCAATTGGCTCCTGGAGTTCAACCCCCACCAGGTGCAAAGTCATAAAGAATGGGGAAGGCTAAAGAAGACCATAGACAGAGTACAGTCTAAGGGGCCAGAGACTACAAACCTCACTCAAGGAAAAGGATCTTGGGGCGAGTATAAGACTGGGCACGTCTCCTGAGGCGCACATCAACCAAATAACTGCTGCAGCATACAGGCGCCTAGGAAACTTAAGAACATCATTCCGACATCTTAATAAGGAATTGTTCAGAACTCTGTACACTGTGTACATTAGGCCCATATTGGAGCATGCAGCACTAGTTTGGAATGCACACCTAGCTAAGCACGTAAGGAAACTAGAGAGAGTGCAAAGGTTTGCAACAAGACTAGTCCTGGAGCTATGGGGTATGTCCTACGAGGAGAGGTTAAGGGAAATAGACCTGATGACACTGGAAGGTGGACAGAGACAGGATGTTCCAGAGATGGGACACAGCAACAAGGGGTCACAGTTGGAAGATGAAGGCACAGATGAATCATAGGGATGTTAGGAAGCATTTCTTCAGTCACAGAGTTGTCAGGAAGTGGAATAGGCTGGGAAGTGATGTAGTGGAGGCAGGACCCATACATAGCTTTAAGAAGAGGTATGATAAAGCTCATGGAGCAGAAAGAGTGACCTAGTAGCGACCAGTGAAGAGGTGGTGCCAGGAGCTGTGACTCGACCCCTGCAACCACAACTAGGTGAGTGTACACACATGATCAAGCTCATGCAGCAAGGAGAGAGGGAACTTAGTAGCACTCAGTGAAGAGGCGGGGCCAGGAGCTGAGTCTCGACCCCTGTAACCACAGTTAGGTGAGTACACACACATATACAAGAGGCCTCGTGTCTAATCGATGTGTGCCTAGGACAGAATGGTAACTCACACACACACAGGAGAAAGAAAAAAGCTAGTGGCCACATTTTTGTCCGACTTGGACCATTCACAAGTCACACTGACAGAAGAAAGTGAGTGAGCCAGTATACATAGGCGAGGAGGACAGGGACGGGAGAAAGAGAGAAAGTAGTAGTGGTAGTAGAAAGTAGGGAAAGTAATGTTTTTGCCCCAAGTAGTAGTAAAAAAGGTAGAAGCAGTAATAGTAGTAAAAGAGTGGTAGTTGTAGTAATACTGTAGTAGAAATGGGGTAAGTCTACAGACAATTAAAAAGAGCACTGCAGGAGAGCTAACAGGGAGGGGAGAACTGAAGGACAGAACACACTAGACAGAATAAAGGAAAAACAAAAACTTAATGGAAAATAAGAAAGTGAAAGAGGTAGGGAAAGAAGAAAAGTCATGTCAAGTCACAAGTGTTCTGAAGTTTTGGAGTATTTGACAGTGTAAGGAGAAACGTATCTTCAGAAACAAAGCTAGGACTAAGATTCATATAGGAAAGTTGTGTATAATGGATGCTTCAACAAGATGACAGCTCTGAAGGCTTCAAGTAGGATAGACAGTTTTGGCTATGGGGCAGTCAACAGGATGACTGTGATCTTTAATATCGCAGAAAAGAGCATTATTGGTGTCGGTAAGCCTAACACTGTTTTTGTGCTCTGTCAGTCTGTCAGAAAGAGAGGGGCAATAGAAGCATAAAATAGAATGTTATCTTTATTCACATTCCAACAGAACATCAAGCCTAATAAACCATTTGTCTGGTCTAACACACAAACCTGCTGGATGCTCAATTCCCTAGTACTGAAAGCCTTCTTCACCTTTCTAGAATGACCCCCTACTTTCCCCACCCTAGATTCAAACACTCGGTCATCCTGTTTTGCTCCATCTCTAAATGCCCACACTACCTCAACATCCCTTTCTCAGCCCTCTGAATTATACCACAGCATCTTCTAATGTCTATGCTCCAAATCTTCTGCACAATATTCACACCATTCATTGCTCTCAAACATGACATCTTCCTTGACATTTTTGTTGCTATCATCTTGTTTCTTTTTACTCTTTTTCTTTTAATTTCCTTCTACATACACCTTCAAAATCATTCACCAACATTAGCAACTTTTCTTCAGAATCTCTCTTATCTGCAAAGAACAACTGTGACAACCCCAAATTTAATATATTTTCATCCCATACCTCTTGCAAACACCCTAGCATTCACTTATTATGTAATTCCATATCTATGTTAAACAACCATGGTGATATCACACATCCCTATTTAAGGCCTTCTCTTGCTGGAAAATTCCCCTTCTTGAGAACTACAGCAGAATGCACTTTCATAACACAAGACACAAAACATTCTTTGATATCCCTTGTGTCCATCTCTCCCTATGCAAAAATGCTATGCATATAAAGGGCCCTCCTAAGAGCTGGAATTCATTACCTGTACATACAAAAGGGCCCCAGCATGCACACCAATTCAAGACTCTGCTTAGAAATCAACTCATCTCCCAAAATTAACCACACATACACTATATATTATTGCCACCATCAACTCAACAATTTCCTAATATTATAAGATTATTTCTAAACTAAAATGATCTCAATCTCATTATGTATAATGTTCCAAAATACAATACTGTAACTTGTTAATCAATTACTTGTTAATTAATATTGCTAAACCACTACTTGCTCTATTAAAATATAAAAAACACTGTTCAACTCAAACCAACTATGATATATACGCCTAGCATTAAGTAGTCTGTTAAGCATTAAGTTTAGTCTGCCCAATGTGCCCTAGTATGACAGTGGCAAATCGTAATTGTAATCACACATTGTAAACTATGCAAAGAAATAAAATCCTAATTCCTTATACACACTCTAGAATTGCACAGATATTACTAAAATATACAGAAAAAAGAAAAGCTGTTATTTTAAGAACATAAGAAAGAAGGAACACTGCACCAGGCCTACTGACCCATGCGGAGCAGGTCCACGTCCCCCCCCCCAGATTAGATCAATGGCCCCCCCGGATTATCCCAATGACCCACCCAGTCTGGTCATCCCCACTCAAGGATGGAGCACTGTACCAGACTCAGCAGCACAAGCTAGTCAGGTAAAACTCACACCCACTCATGTATTTATCTAACCTACTTTTAAAACTACACAACGTTTTAGCCTCAATGACTGTACTCGGGAGTTTGTTCCACTCATCCACAACTCTATTACCAAACCAGTGCTTTCCTATATCCTTCCTGAATCTGAATTTTTCCAACTTGAAACCATTGCTGCGAGTCCTGTCTTGGCTGGAAATTTTCAGCACACTATTTACATCCCCTTTATTTATTCCTGTTTTCCATTTATACACCTCGATCATATCCCCCCTAATTCTACGCCTTTCGAAAGAGTGCAGATTCAGGGCCCTCAGTGTATCCTCATAGGGAAGATTTCTGATACATGGGATCATCTTTGTCATCCTCCTTTGTACGTTTTCCAGAGCATTTATATCCATTCTGTAATACGGTGACCAGAACTGAGCAGCATAGTCTAAATGAGGCCAACCAAGGATATATAGAGTTGAAGAACAACCTGAGGACTTCTATTATTTATACTTCTAGATATGAAGCCAAGAATTCTGTTAGCTTTATTGCGAACACTAATGCACTGTTGTCTTGGTTTTAGATTACTGCTAACCAGAACTCCTAAATCCTTTTCGCAATCAGAAGTATTAAGATCTACATTATTTAGTTTATATGTGGCATGGTTATTTAACTGTCCAACATTTAGAACTTTGCATTTGTCAATATTAAACTGCATCTGCTACTTCTCCGACCATTGCGTCAGTCTATTCAAATCATCCTGGAGTGCTCTAATGTCCTCATTAGAATGAATTGGACGGCCTATTTTGGTGTCATCAGAAAATTTGCTTATGTCGCTATTTATTCCCTCATCTATGTCGTATATGTAAATTGTGAACAACAATGGGCCCAACACTGACCCCTGAGGAACATCGCTTGTGACGTGCCCCCATTTTGTAACAGCTTGGAAAATAATCCAAAATGTGAATAGCTTAAAGTATTTTTATTAGCTGGTATCAGATTTGCAAGGGATTACTGTATTGTGTGACCTTGTATGCAAGAGTACAAGTGAGTGCTATGTGCAAATTGTGTTCCAGTTCATATATTGCATTACTACTCAGCTTAGCATATGCCAATACGAGTTAATTATATCCACCTCTACAAATCACCAAGCAAGTGGCATTCTACCAATTTCTATTTTTCAATCTGTCTTCTGATATAAGATATTTATGAAGTGGATTCTCTTCGAATCTTCTGACGTCATCTTCACCAACACCACTTGGGCTGTCACCTGAGGGAAGATGTGGAGAAAGGGAAGACGGATATCTTGTGAAGGGGTCAGCCGAAGTAGTAGAAACAGTGAAGTAACAATGGTGGATTCATACTGGACTACAAGAGTTCAGAGTGACAGTGATCTCCTACTGGTGGCTAGATTTTTACTAAGCTTCTAGCCCTCAATAAAAGCTGTCTGAAAGCCTGCAAATTACAATCTTGTATGCAAGTGAATGTTAAATGAATAGGGGTTCAACTTGTTCGTAATATGAGAAAGGTTAAAGGCAGAGATGAATCAGGAAAAAAAAGCACAGGTTTCCAGCAGTGAAATAATACCATATAAAATGTATTGTATCAATCAGATGTTTAATCTCAAAAAGACATTATATTTTTAAACTAAATAAATTTTATAACTAGTAAGCATAGTGCATACAGTATATATTGTAAAATAGATTCAGTATCATAGTACAGTAATTTGGTGATGGGAAAATGAATTAATTGTTCACTGGTTAGTATTTCTTCGAGGTGCCTTGTATACTTTTTCTATAATGTATTTATTTTTCCATTAAGTTCACAGTAATGTTCATCAGTGAGACAGGATTGTAGCTCATGGATCCTCCCTGTCACCTTTCTTTAAATATTGGCACACTGTACACATTTTCCATTTGTCTACCAGTTTAGTGATGAGAAAAACATGACTGAGGTAAAAGAATCAAAGGACACATAAATGTAGCTAGTAGGGGCAAAGGGGCAAGTATAAATTACTTGTGAGTGGAGAAAGTCCATGTCTAAATGCATACAAGGGTATAAAAATATTAGTTATATGTATAGTAGCTCAACAAGAAGGTATATGAAGTATTAGAAGATTATGCTTATATTTGACAATACATCTGTTCACTCAATTGCTAACTAATTCACTCATTTGTTAACTAATTGGTGCCACAATACTTTTCTTACAAAATGTATGCTATATATTACTCATGCAGATCATACATACAGTATAGGTAAAATAATAATAATAATTAATAATAATACAAAATATTTGTCCCCCACAACTGCAACTTACTGATTCAGCCAATGAAACAAGGAATAATTAAATGTTTAAAAATATAATACTGCAGCTGAGTAAAGATTGTTGATCCTGAAACATTCTCTAAAGAACTGACCATTAAGAATGGGATGATGTTACTGCTACTAAGAATGACTGGCATAAACTATGGCCTTCTAGTGCTCCCTCATGATAATATTGTTTCTACCAATTCTGAAGGTTACCATGCATATTCAGAAATGGGCTTACACAAAACACCTATGCAAACAGATTTCTGACATAAATGATTAATATGAGGAATGGGTTGACTGTGACAAAATTGTTCATTAGGCAGTTATCCATGCAGTATTGACCTTAAGTAAACATGATGCAATCATGAGGAACTATGATGAAAGTACAGGTAACAGTCATGTCACCAGAAGAGATGCCATCCACTTCTGATAAGGTGATATCAGAAAGGAAGCTATAAATGTTTGACAGCAGTAATTCCATTAATGTAGTTACCCAGTAATGCACATACTGTACGAGGCCTCATCACTGTATAAAGCAGAATACACTAATATTATGATGTAAGAACCGTTCACTGGCAATGTTGTGTACGATATATAGTAGCTGATTCTGGGTAAATGTACATGGTCTTCCTCTTGTAGTATAATTTAAAATTCTGGTTAAGACATTATATCCAGACTAGGTACTGTACAGTAAACCCTTGATGTATTGAACTAATAGGGGGATTGTCCTAGTGTCTGTTAAATCAGGTGTACTCTACTATACACCTAATATAGTACTATACACATAATTTACAATTTTACAGTAAAAAACATTGAAAATAAAGAAGTTAAAAATATAACTTACCCAGCAGATTTTGCCTGTTATTTTGAAAGTCTTTTATATTGAGGTCCACATTACCAAGTATTTACTGTACTGTGCGTGGGCATGAATTGTAATGTCAAGGATCGTTGCTTCCTACAATAAACCTTGTTAAAATCACCTTTAATTCCATAATATATAATGTAAATAACCATAACATGTGTTATAAAAATTCTAGCATTTATCTACATGTACAGTTTTGACTGAAATTGTATATTTCTGTGCAGCTGGAGGGAGAGGGTTCACATGACTCACACTCATGGCTGCCAAAGTGAACTCAGTGTGTATCAGTGCTTGGTGGGAGGTACATGTCTGAATTTTTAGGCTGCCACCTGATTTCTGTCTAATGTTCAAACTACCAGTTAAGTTCCAGAGCTGGGAAATTACAGATTATTGTTAAAAATATTGTTAGTTATAAATTATTGATCTTTTATGAGGATAGTGAGGCTGAGGTAGAAAAGAATGAGGGAATTTTCCCAGTACAAGGAGGCCTTAGACAGGGATGTGTCATGTCACCGTGGTTGTTTAACATACAAAGAAGTAAATGTTAGGGTGCTAGGGATAGGTGTGGAATACAGGGGCAGCACCAGCCTGGCAGGAAGTGACTTCCAGGACAATGAACTCTGCTTGGAGAAAACTGTGGCCAGCCAGAATGTCCTCGACAAAGATTTTGAAGGGTTTGAGACTGACCGTGACAACTCTCTGCCAGTTGTGGAATCTATTGTTCTATTAGGGAAAGTCCATGGGGTTGGAGGTTAGTGGCAAAGATGTGGAAGAGTTGGTGGAGGATCACAATGAAGAGCTAACCACTGAAGAGCTGCTAGACCTTAATCTGCAACAGCAACAGACCACAGCTCAGGAAATTGCTTCAGAGGAGGAGGAAGAGAGAGGGAAGAAGTTGCTTTCTTCAGAGATTAAAGATATGTCTCACGAAATCGTAATGACACGATTGCAAACAAACCATACCACTGGCGGGGATAGAACCCGCGATCAGAGAGTCTCAAAACTCCAGACCGTCGCGTTAGCTGGTCCAGTGGCTAACGTGACGATCTGGAGTTTTGAGACTCTCTGATTGCGGGTTCTATCCCCGCCCGTGGTATGGTTTATTAAGGATATGTGTGCAATGTGGACTAGGATGGAAAGATTTGTGGAGGAACATTACCCTGACAAAGCTGTTGCAGGCCGTGTACGAGACATGTTCAGTGACAGTGTCTTGTCTCATTTTAGGCAAATTTTAAAGAAATGCCAGAAACAGACCTTTCTGGAACAATTTTTTGAGCGACAGGGGTCCAATGACTCAAGCTGGTCCTAGTGGCATTAAAATACAAAAAAGGGAAGTAACCCTGGAAAAGGACTTGCTACCTGAAGTCTTATGGAAGGGAATTCCCCTTCCAAACAATAGTAGCTCTTCCATCCTCTCCCCTCCTCCCGTCTTCCACACATCAACAACTCTTCAATAAAGGTAAATGTCAAGTTATAATTGTTTTATTCATGTCTCACTGTTTTCTGTGTAGATAAATTTACATTTAAAATAAAAAAAATATATTTTTAATACTTTTGGGTGTCTGGAACGGATTAATTTTATTTACATTATTTCTTATGAGGAAAATAATTTTGAAAATCATGAATTTTGAATTTTGGCGGACTTTCTGGAACGGATTAATCACGAATTTCAAGGGTCCACTGTATAAGTGTACAATTAAAATAAGTAGTTTATAATTTTGTATTTCTTTTCTGAAAGTAAAATAAGGTGTAATAGAAAACAGAATTAGTGTAGTAGCTAAAGAACTGGGCATGTCGACAGTCTCTTGTTTGTTATTGTTGGACAGATGAGAGGAGGCTACTGGCTCCCCTTCTCTTGTTGTAGTACCAACCTGGTAGGCTCTCCTTTCTTTTTCTTGTTTCTGGGCAAGATGTGAGTGCCCCAGAGGTAATATTTGTACTTGAATATGATGTAACCATTATACCCAGGGTGACTACAGTGTGTCAAAACACTGGGTTAAGGCCATCAAGAGGAAAGGAGTACTAATTGTGTAAGATGGACCATGTGACTGTACTGGCAAAGCAGCTAAGGGTGTGTATCCTTTGTATGAATAGGAAAATGCTTAACTTGTATATTCTGTATATGCCTGTCTAGAATATATCCCTATTTTTGTAATAGTAGTTGAACCTGTTGAGAGGGTTGGTGAAAAGACTTCAGAGACTGAGGACAACCAATCACGAGTGTAAGTATTACCCTAGAGTCTAAGGTAATACAGTACTTATAAAGTCTAGGGCCTAGACTTTATAAGGCTTTATTTAAGCTACCCCCACACTAGAACATGTAGTGAGAACCGTACCATTGAAGTAAAAAGGGAAAACAATGTAATAGTGGGGCTTAGGCACGGCTATTTGGAGGTCTGTTATTACAGCTGCCTTTGCCAATGACATGGTTCTTTTGGGAGATTGCAAAAGTTGGTGGAGGAATTTAGGAGGGGAATACAAAAGAATAAAGTTAACAGCAAACAGAAAAGAACAAGATGACCATAGAAATCCAGACAATGAAAGATTGAATATCAGCTTGGAGGGAGGAAGAGAATGAGTTCAGATACAGATATGTACTCCCCTACTTGGTACAAACAGGTTTAGTTCTGAGCAATTGTTCGTAAGCTCAACATAACAAAATGTGCTATAAATGAAATAAAGTTTATAATCTTTGTAATAAAGTTTGTAAATAAAGTAAATTTAAGAAAACAGCTGGTGAGAAGGTGATGGCATAAATGCTGTAGGATTTGAAGTTGATGGCACCTATTCAAGCTCCTGGCAAGACTCACTACCTTTGTCCACCTTCTTGAAGAAACAGTCTAGGGATGTCTGGGTGGGCATCAAGTACACATGAATGATGCTGCTTCCAGCACTACAGTGCTGCCACCACATGGCAGACTATGAACTAAATCCTATGCCCTGAATCTACTAAATATACAAGACATACACTCATATTACTGTGCCTACTATATATACAGAACATTAAACTCCAATATAAACCCTCCACTTAAACTTTTCCTTGGTAGCTACAACAGAATGCACAGTCACAATACAAGGCATAAGGCACTCTTCAACATCCCTCGTGTCAGTCTCACACTATGCCAAAATGTAGTGCACATAAAGGGCTCAAAGATCCAGAATTCACTACCTGAACTGGTAAAGGATCCCTTGACAACATACAAATTTAGGGCTATGCTTAAAAATCATCTCATTTCTCAGTATTAACCAAACCAACCAAAACAACTTCTAACCAGTTTGAAGCAACTCTCCCAAATATATTATATGACTTTGCATTTATGAAAACATCTGCCAATCCATGAAATACTACTGTTTGAACCATTAATTGTAATATTGTTTTTATTATGTGCAACTTCAAGATTATTATTCTTATAAACCTCCACCTTGACTACCTCACATTAGTATTAAGATAAATTAAAGAATTATTAAAAAGTTAACCACTCTTGTCTTGTCTAGACTTAAGTAATTATTATGTACTAGGATTAGTCTGCCCAAAATGCCCCAGCATGATAGTGGCTGTCTTTGTACTTAAGAAATCAAAACTGTAAATGCACATTGTAACCTTGCAAAGAAATAAAATAAAATCTTTGAGTGTCGTCAGGCTTCTGTGAGTTTGTTAAATAGGAGTGAATGGAGACAAGTAGTTTTTAATGGACATGCTTTGAAGTGTGAGCAAGGTAACTTTTATGAAAGGATTCAGGAAAACTGGTTAGCCAGACTTGAGTCCCAGAGGTAGCAAGGAGAGGTCCTGCACTCTGAAGGAGGGGGTGGAGATCTGGCAGTTAGAGGGTAAACTGATTGTAATGCCACTACACTTCTGGAAAGACAGCAAATGAGTGAATTATGGTGAAAGTATTTCTTTTTTTTGGGTCAGCCTGTTAAGTTAAAAAAAATTATTGTGTGCAAAAATGTACTCTAGGAAGAAAAGAAGTGAAGATGAACTAACCAGTTTCATTCTGCACCACCACGACACAAGCAATCCATTCTTCCAGTGATACCTTACTGTCCCTGTCCACATCACAATAGTTTGTAATTTTTCGCCCACACTTCTTTAACTTTGGATTACTGCAAAAGAAGAAATAATAGCTAAAAATAGTTTAATAATGAAGAAAAGACACAAGTGCAGAGCCTTTTATTGAGGTAATAATTACATTGTATAGAGGTTAATCAAATCAGCTATAGTAAAGCTATGAAGAGAAAGAAATATCAAAATAAAACCTTCATCTGCACTTGTGTTCTTTATTCATTATTGTAAGCAATATGTCTGTGTATCCACAGAGTTCAGAGCACCACAGTCTGTAGTCATTTCAAGTTTACACATGGAAATAAAGCTAGGGCACAGTTTAAAAAAAAAAAAACGAGAATGTTTAAAAAAATCATGCAACCTAAATCTAATCACTGAATATGCAAATACAGAAATACAAATGAAAAAAATAAATGCAGCACGTGTCAAGGAGACAATAAAATGCTTCGTATATATTCCAGTACTGATTTGTAAAACAAATTATATTTCACCTCTTCAAAAAATTTTTTGCTAATTTCTTTTCTTTTTTCTCCAAATATTGATTGTCATTTTTGTCCAGATTCCTGAAGTGGTAAGTGGCAGCAAACTCTTCCACTGACTGGGTCGAGGAATCTGCTCCAGCCCTCCTGAAAAATGTGTTTAGTTTCCTTATTTTATTAAGTTCTCTCAAAATTACACTTTAATAATAATAATACATATCTTTATTTCTACAGACCTAGCTGAGCAATATCCTAATACAACATTTTTATTAAATAAAAAATCTTGATATTTTACAATATTTCCACACATTTTTAAGGATATTTTTCAACAACTTTACAAAGCTTCAATTATTCCACTAAACTTAAAATATTTTCAATTAAAAAGCAATAATTTAAAGTGCTAAAAGTGCCTAAGGTAATATGGATTCCTGCTAAGCTATAAACAAAATTCTGCACTTTGTCAAAGCCATTGTTCACTCCAAAATATTTAAAAATGTAAAACTTTCTTCACCTCATATCAATACAGTACATACAAGGTGCTATCAAAAAAGTTTCAGGACTAAAATTTTTGCACGCTTCCTGGGTGAAATATGATGGTAGCATAGGTCACGTTATGCAGTACACTCCTTTGTGAAGTAGAATGGTGAGTTTCAGCGAGGTCGGTCATTCCGTTGAGGTTAGATGAGCATTTTTCATCATGTCGGTGCATTGTTGCAATGTTTGGTGTATCAGAATGGGATCTTTAAAACAAAACAAAAAAAAGCATTTGTGTGTGAAATTCTGTTTTTCAGCTCAATAAAACAGCTAGGGAAGCTCTAAATGTTGCAGTAAGCATTTGGCAACAAAGCAATAGGTCAGATACAGAGTTTTGAATGGTTTTCTCGATTCAAGGCAGGACAAATATCAGTTGAGGATGATGAATGCTCTGGCATCCATCCACCTCAAAAACAGATGCCAACATGAAAAAGTGAGAAAGGCTATTCACAAAGATCATTGTCAGAATATCTAGAACATTGCAGCTGCTGTGGGAATTTCTTATGGATCGTATCAAAGTTCTGACTGACAATCTGAACATGAGGCGAGTGGTTGCAAAATTTGTGCCCCACTTGCTGACTCAAGACCAGAAAGACCATTATTTTATAGACAAAAAATGACATAGTAGTCATCCCCCACCCTCTCTACTCCCCACATCTTCTTTCTCTTTCTAAACCAAAAAGTGGTACACAAGAAGCAGTATTTTAAGGATATGGAGGAGATTCAAGCAGAATCACAGGCCATGCTACATGCCGGTAGAAAAGAAGCGTTTCAGAAATACTTTGAGAAGTGGAAGAGATGTATCACTGGGATCAGTATATAGTCTCCCAAGGAGAGCAATTCGAAGGAGACAATTTCATCTATTTGATTAGGTAAGCTAAGCCTATATATTTTTTTTCATGGGTCCAGGAACTTTTTGATAGCACCTCATGCTACTGTAGTACAGTAATATTATTTTAAATGCCATCCATCTCCCATTGAGGTAGGTGTCCCCCCTCCCCCCCCCAAAAAAAAAAAAAATACACCATCATTCACTCTATCACTGTCTTGCCAGAGGAGTGCTGATACTACAGCTCAGATGCTCCTCCAGACTGCAACCCTCCTTTACAGTACAGGCCATATGCAGTTTTCCTGAATTCCCTAATACTCCAACAGCACATCAAGTCATCAAGACCACTTGGTTCCACTTGCTTCTATCACACACACACTTGTTGGATGTCCAAGCCCCTCACACACAAAACCTTTACCTCTTCCCTCCAACCTTTCCTAGGATGACCCCTACCCCTCCTTCCCTACAAACTTCTTTCAGCAAACCAACCATATCCCACCAAAGCAGGGTGGCCCAAAAAGAAAAACAAAAGCTTCTCTTTTTAACTTTTGTAATGTATACTGGAGAAGGGGCTATGAGCCCCTTACTCCTCACATGTTAGTCGCCTCTTATGACACGCATGGCTTATGGAGGAAGAATTCTGTTCCACTTCCCCATGGAGATAAGAAATAAACAAGAACAAGAACTAGTAAGAAAATAGAAGAAAACCGAGTGTATATATATGCTTGTCAATGCACGTGTAGTGTGATCTAAGTGTAAGTAGAAGTAGCAAGACATACCTGAAATCTAACTGCTGCATACATGTCTTACTTATCTAGTTATTGGTACTGTATACCATTATTATATTCACCAACACCTTGCCACCCTCACCAACATCTTGCCACCCTCACCAACATCTTGCCACCCTCACCAACACCTTGCCAACCTCACCAACACCTTGCCAACCTCACCAACACCTTGCCAACCTCACCAACACATACCTGTCTCCACCTTCCACTTTGTTTAACAAGAACTTCTTCAGGTCCAGGATAAATTTTGTTTTGGTTTCTCCTGTGCATCCTGTGGAGTAGCAGAATGCTAACATAAAATATAAATAAATAAGTAAACTACTGCATAATTAAGACACAAGAATTCTTAAAATTTAAGACTATGCAAAACTATTTTAATTTGATGACTGGACCATTAAATGACTTGAGAACATGTGAGTCATTGTGTTACAAAAGAAAATAAGCACCACTTAGGCCAAAATCTGGGTTGCTGAATAAATTGATTCCTACACATTTTGTCTGTGGAAGCATGTAGTTATTGTCTATTGTATTGTAAGTTAGGTTTGGGGCCCCATAATGAAGTAAAGCAACTTGGCTTCTTAATTCTGATCTCCCACACTTCTGCATTTTCTTCCATTGTTTGAATTTGGTGCTTCTTTTTTGCCATATGATACCTCATATGTAGAAAGATCTACAAATATGAAATAATGAAATGTGAAACAAGCTCATAATACTTTATCATGAAAGTAACATTACTGTGTAAAGGTTACTGGGAACCAACCTCTTCAAGGGGGGCTCCTTTGTGCAGTGAAGAAGCTATGGGTCTGAGGAATTAGACCTTTTGGTCTTCTTCAGACTGAACCTAATCACCCCCAATCCCCCCTTCCCTATCCTATCCTTCCCATCACCCTTTTCCCTTTCCTCTCCCCATCCCTCCACTTTCCCTTTCCTGTTTCTGCCTTTGAGGTTGTTCCCTTAGGCTTTGTAGTTCCTAGACCTGAGAAGGGGTTCTGGGGTCCATCTCCTTCCATTGAGATCCTCAGTGGTAGTGTAGTTTGCCGTGGAATCTGGATCATCTAGAGATCCTGATCCTTCTCTGGTCTACTGGGGGGGAGAGGCTTCAGGTGTCTTTCAGGTGACAGGTGTATCTCTGGAGGCTGCCTGTTGGGTTACAGGTGGTGGTGGCCGAAAGGGGTATGCTTTGTGGCGGGTTTCCAACCGCCCTCCCTATTGTCCACCGAGGTTGCTATCCTGGACTGTTGGTTTACTGGCTTAAAAGGTAGGGTATGGCACAGGTCACATGCTGCATCTGCACTACCGGCTGCACTGAGGTTGTCCTCTTGGGCACAGAAGGGGAGGCTTGCGGTCCTTTTCCCCTGGGAGCTGCCCCTCCATGCTCCCCCCTTTTTTTCCTTTTTTTTTCTTTGTTCTTTTTTTCTTAAAAACAAAAACAAGTCCACGTCCCTCCTCCTCCTGGGCCCCTTCCTGTAGCAACACCCTCTGATGACCCTGCCTTGTTACCAGACCATTCTTTGAACCTTTCTACTGCCCCGATTTTCCGCAGGTGACATTTGTCCCTGCCGGATACAGACTCAGCCTGATCCTTTGACACCTCGACCTCCGCATATCTTTGACTATCTTCCAGCTTCTCCCCTTTTAGGGTCAATGGTTTTCGATCACGGGCCCACCTCAACATGGACCACTTCGGGCCTTATTTAAATGGCCACACCTTCTTCTGAGACTTTATTTTGACTGACTCATTCTACTCAGAAGAGACCAACACGACAATCACTTCCTTTTATATACACAAAACAAAAAACCCGCACATAAAAAGAGAAAGCTACGACAGTTTGGGTTCGACTTGGACCGTTATTTTTTACGTTCCAGTCAGGGTATTAGCCTTTTTTTTTTATTTATTACTTTGTTTTATAGTACCAATGGGCAAAGTTTTTTCACCATAACTGACATTTTCAGAATATCTTTCTGACATAGTATCATAAGGTGTCCCTATGCCAAATTTTTTATAAATTCTGTTTTATTGCTCAAGAGCAGTGCATGCATTGTCACAGAAAAGAATGCTTGCCAAACTCACACCTCTTTAAGGGGGGCTCCTTTTTGGTGAAAAGCTCTTTTGGGCTGAGGGAAACAGACCTTCGGGCTCCCTTTCCCCAACCGAACCTAATTACCCCCCCAATCCCCCCCCCTATCCCATCCTCCCCTTTTTTTTTTTTCCCCTCCCTTCCCCACCCCTCCCTTTTTCCCCTTCCTTTTTTGGCCTTTTGGGGTTTCTCCCACAGGGGGCAGTTCCTAGGAGGGGAAAAGGAAAACGGGGGCCTCCCATTCCGTTAGGTTTTGGGGGGGGCGTAGTTTGCCGTTTTTCTGGGTTTCCTGGGGATGTCCCGATCCCTCTCCGGCCCCCGGGGAAATTTGGGTGTCTTTCGGGGGGACGGGGTATCTCTGGAACCACCTTTTGGATTCCGGGGGGGGTGGCCCAAGGAGGATCTTGTGGCGGATATCCGGGGCCCCCCTCCTTTTGGCCACCAAGGGAGCTCAGCAATTGAGGTTGCTATCCCGGATTGCGGTTTCCTGGCATGAAAGGGGAGGGTTGGGACGGGTTTTTCCCTACATCTGCGCTACTAGCGGTGCGAGGGCCCCTTTTGGGGGCCCGGGGGGAGATTTCCGGGCCCTTTCAATTCCTCTTGGGGAAATATTCCTCCCCGCTCCCCCCCCTTTTTTTATTCTTTTTTTTTTTTTTATTTTCTTTTTTTCTTTCTTTTTTTTTTTAAAAACAAAAAGCAAGAGTAAAAACCCAACCATGGGAAAAACCCCAATCCATTAACCCACACCCCCCGGGCCCCTTCTTCATACCCCACCCCATTCGACCCGCCCTTTTTTTTTAGATCACTTTCGGACACTCCTGATCCCCTGTACCTCTTTCTGGTGCTGTTCCTCCCCGCTTTAGGTACCGGGGGTTTTACTGACTCCTTCAAATTTTTCGAACTCTCTCTCCTTTGACTATGCTTCCCTTTTCCCCCTAGGGTAAAGGGGAATTTTCAATGCCCCCCCCTTTTAGCCGACCAACTCCGGGCCTACTCCTAAATCCAAAGTCAATCTCCTATAGCCCTTCGTTTTCCTTCCCATTCTACCAAAAAGACCGACATTCATGCACTCCCTCTCCACGTTCAGTTTTTTGGACCACACAATGGACTAAATTCTTTACTTTAAGACCGACTTCTTCTCTGCCTACCTTTCTGACCATAGTATTGCAAAGCGCCCCTTTCGTCATGTTGTAGAGATATTCATTTCATGCTCTCAAGAGGGGTATGCGCATCGCACTGTCCAAATGCTACCCAAGCTCATGATCTTTCTCTCCTTTCGAATATCATACTACTCCTATCACTATTGAAAAACATCTTTCTCTCAATTCTTGTAGTGGTACTGCCATTCTGCCCCATACCATATCCAACAGAATTTCCGTTATGTGGGAATGACATTCCTGAACAGCTGGAACTCCAGGGTCTCCCAATCCTCAAAGTAGACACTTATGTTCCTCTTCCTGCCCTTGGGGGGGAAAATGTTACCCTTGCAATGTGGCTCGTTTAACTTTTGACAGCCGAGAACTCCCGTCCTCTGTATATGTCGCGGACATCGGTTACAAGTTCGAAAAGGTATACCACACCGCAAACAGTGTAAAAATTGCTGGCGTTTTGGTCACCCAGCAAAATATTGCAGATCTATAGGGGGCCCAATGCCCAGTCTGTGGTGCGACGACCATTCTAATACATCTTGCAGTCAACCTCCATCTTGCCTTAATTGTAATGAAGCTCACCCTTCGTACTCCCGCCGTTGCCAGTCTACTTAAATGAACGTGAAATCCGTTGCCTCAAAGAGGCAGAAGGTCTCCCTTATGCTATGGCAGTTACTCATCTCCGCCTCCAAGGGAGACTACCCGTGTTTCTTTTTCCGTGTTTCAAAACATCCCCCACTTCTGGGTCCCATCTTCTGCAGCCTCCCTGTTTGTTACCCCTCCCATAGCCACTCCGGCATCTAATCCTTTTTGCTGTCCTTGGCTCTGACGTCCCGCCTACAACTCATCTGTTCTCACATCTTCGCGTCCTTCTTCACAAGCCCCAGTACGACAAGACCCGTACGACACCTAATACCAATATCGCCCCTCTACTTCTCAGAAGTCCAAAAACACCACATTGCTCAAATCTTCTTTCCCTTCCTTCCCTTTTTCCCCCTCCACACTTTACCTTTCCAGCCCCCGTGCCTAGTTTTTTCCCCCTCTCACTGGCTCTATTCAAGTGGGAAATTTTTCACCCCCCTCCCCCGTACTATCCCTTCCCCACCCCCATCCCCCCCCCAAGTTTCCCCCCCTCTTCTGCCCTTCCCGGGTTTTTCTCCTCTTCTGTCCCCCCCCCCCACACTTCATCTCCAGCCCCTTAAAATTTTTCCCCCCCCTCTATTTTGGGTACAGTCCTTTACTGTCCCCAACCCTTTACTCACCCTCCCCCTTCTATCTCCAATTTGGGTCTCCCATACATTTTGAATTCAGAAAAAACTTGAACCCATTTCAAAAATAAATTGCAGAGACTAAACCTTAAATGGACACTGTTTTTCATTTCCTTTTTTCCTTCTCTTCCCTCCCCCTCCATCTTCACAAACCCCATTCTTCGAAACACCCCCTTTCCCTTCGCTGTTTGGGAACATTTTCCCCAATGCCAAAAAACACGTTAATTTTTCAAACCCCCCTCTAGTCCATGGGTCCCCCCTTTTCCCTATGGTTCCTGGTTTTTTCCCTTCATTCCAATCAGGGCCCTTTTTACATGGAAAACCGGGCCTCGGGGGTAATCGGGGTGAGCTTCAGGTTTTTTGCTTTCCGGGTTTTTCCCCCTGTTGGGCTTGCTTACAAAAACCCAAAATTCCCACCGGCTTTTTTCCCCAACCTATCTCGGCAAAATTTTATTGTATTCCGGGGGATCCTTTCCGAGGGGAAACCTTTAAATGAAAGGCCCTTTTCCGGGGGAATGCCGTACTGCCCAACTATTTGCCATACCTCGCTGCTTTACACTGCGGGCCCGTATCCACTTAAAAAAGGGGTTTACAATATGTTTTTAAATCTCTCTCCTTCTTACTTTTTCTACCCCCAGATTTTTTCCTTTCTTGTTTCTTTCCTTACCCCCACCACTTCTGTTATTTTGGGGGTTTTTAAAATGCCCACCTTTTTCCTCGGGGGGGGGGTCTCATTGTAATCACTTGGCATCCAGTTGGGGGTTTTTTCTCGCCCCC